CTCTCTCTCTCCAGGTAGAGTCAATTTTTCAAGTGAGCACATCCGTTCACTTGAGTGAGTATATCGCAATTTGATATCGAGAAAAGAGACGAAAGATTACGCCCACATAATAACGAATGATATTGGAAAGACCTTTGCCTTATATTTTTCTCTAGGTTTATTTTTTCTTATAATTTTATACTTAGTAAAATTTTTTACTAGCATTCTGAAACCTGACTACAATTTTATCGTATTTTCTAAAATATTAAATTTAAATAATTGTTATATTAATGTGATATAATTAATTTTAACTCATTTCTTTTTTATTAATGACGTCAATACATTTTATTATTGAACACTGTTATTTAATATGACTTATATATTTTGATCATCCTGTATATTAAACAATATCTTGAGACAATTAAGAATCAGCAAACTGTCACACGCGATTATCCTTTCCGGATTTCTAACGTGGCATTATAAATTTTTTGTGTGATACTACATTATCTGTGCGCATCATTTGGATTCAAGGCCAAAATCAAAGTATCGTACGTTATCTTTCCAGATTGACTGTGAAAAGAAGAATCATAGCCGAAGACCGTAGTCAATCTCGACGTTGTGACCGCTTCAGATTTAAGGTTAGTGACACAAGAATCAGTTTACATTTCTGTTCGCGATATGCAACGATATTCACGTTTACGACTAATCGGTTCGTTATCGATAATAATTTCTGTACGACGTACACAATTTCACAAATATTTTATAAATATCCACCATATTAGCTAATTAAATATTAAAAATAGGGACTGTTCCATTAATCTGCAACATTTGATGCATGACTTTAATAGGACTGATCATCAAAATGCTCTTCGAGCTATTACTTTCCGATCTCATCAGCTGTGCTCGTTATATTCGAAGGAAACATCTCGTTATAATTACGAGGCGTTGGCGTTTACGAGCGAAAAGGGATGAAGCCTTATACTTGTTAACTTTAACATCCTGTTCAACTGCTTTGTCCTTTCTGGACAAGCGTGACTCAACCTTTAAAAGATTCGTTAACTCGAGCTTTGTGTTCTAATGCGAATTCGTGCGTTATGCTTTAAATATGAACAATTGCCTTTATCCGCCATATATTATCGAAATTATTTAAGTATCCATTTGTGACTGATGAAAATATTCTTTTTTACTTGATTAAAATTATTCTCGTAAAATGATATAAAAAACAACATAAACTGTTTGAAAATTAGGATGGGTAAAATTAAAGTATTAAAAATTAATAGATGTTACATAATTAGCATTTAAATGTTTACGTGAATATTACAACGATTGAAACACAACTTTTACGCGATGGGAATATAAGAAACGTCGAATTCAAAGGGCTGACATCCAGAATGCGATAAAAATTATAGAGTCTATCTCAAATTTCCATGTTAAAGTAGATCTAAGATTCTTCCGACATTTCGATTGCGATTCACACCATTGTCCCCTATGGTTCCTTTCGTGTTCCCCTACTAACATTCTTCGTCTGTCCTTCCATCGTTTTCGAATATATAGAGCTCGCACCGCGGAATTCGCGCCCTGTTTCTATCGAGCCGCCGCCGCCTCTCGGTGTGTTTCGTCGGACCGCACGCATTTGCAATTCTGACACATTTGGCGGTGAAGTATAACACAGTGCACGCTATTCGCTGGTGAATCTGCTCTTCTCGAAACAAAGACAAAAGGAGAAGAATACCCCATGAGCTACGTGGCGGGAACGTTGGAATATCAAATGATTCTTGGAAAGATCCTCCCTGGTCCATCTCACGTCGTCTCTTCGTCTTCGATTCCATTCCCTCCGCCGTCACTGACGTTGTTTCGCGATCTTCGTGGCCCCCGTGAATTTTCGGCGGTTCTTGGCGCAAGGCGGGAGGACGTGTCCCATCATTCTCCTTTTACTCTTCCTTTCCCTCTTTTCCCCTCTCGCTAAGTTTGAGAGGTCGTTAAAGATGGGTTCGAGGTCCAGGGCCGTATATAACGGATAATTGACAGCCGTGCCGGGGCCGCCGTTTGCTTTGCATGGACATTGAATCCGCGTGGATGGACGTACAGCCGAAAGGAACCGAGAGACGATGCGACGTGAGGCTACGAAATTCGACCGACTGGTCGAACGGAACCGCGAGAGAGCATGAGACGTGACGTGCGGCCAGAAGGAAGCGGAGGGCAAATGCTTGCTCGCTCAACGGACTCGTAAATTCTTCAATTCTGATGTTCGGAAAGGCACAAACGCGATCGTGACATGGTACTTTCTTCCTCGCGAGGGGCAATCTCATTTCGGCTTAATTGCAGCCCGATGTAACGGTACTTTAGCATTTATCTATACCTTATCGAAAAAAGATAAAAGTATGAGTGTACCCCGATTCTGTAACTCTTAACTACAATTCGATACCGTTGTGTTATGTGGATATCATATATGGAGAAAAAACTGCGCAACGATAACATAACGATACCGAACTGTAATGTCGTTAAGAGTTACAGAATTGGGGTACTGGGATAAAAAATTAAAAATATGAAACTGAAAAAATGTGATTCTTTTTTAAGAAATATAGACATTTGAAATTTGCGCAAGACAACAGTACTTTTATAATTTGTATAAACTAAAAATGTTTTTTTATACTTCCATCTTTTTTGTTATAAAGATAGCAAAGCATTTTTGATTTGTACGATACAATATGAATGTAATCAATATGAATTGGATTCAATTATATAATCATGGTATCTATCTAAAGTGTCATGTAGCATTTGCATATCGCATTTCTTTATTAAATAGTTGGAGTTCCGATAAAGCTAAATAAGACATAAAGTTACCGGTTTAATCGAGTTCTTTCTAAATCATATACGAAACTATAAAGTTACAGAACGAGTAATGGACACTTGCGAAACCGATGCCATACGCAATATACAATTTTGCGAAGAGTTATACGTTTTCAATGCACATGCATTGTTATTATCGGTGATTTAGCGAATATACCTAACACGCCCGATAATTGAGAGGGCAATTTAAACGGACAGACAAATGCGACAAGATTATAAAGATCCGTTCCGCGTTGCGTATACGCACTTTCGTATGTGCCGAGGGTACGCGATACGTGAACGTGCGGTTACGCGAATTGCAAGTGGAGCGTTCGTAATGCCCGTGAAAGTATATGAAGTCTCCTTTAAATTACGTCGCAAATTACCATCTCCCGCTGTTCGCCGTGCGCCGCGACCCCACGCGTGCCACGCAATAGCACGCAACACCCTCGCGCATTAAGAGAGCTAATGAACTTCTCAGAGTATATTTCAGCCGACCGTACATTTTTCTTCGATGCGTTCCGCGTCGTTACGAAGACAACGGCGATGATGATTTTCACACCCGAGCGGCTTTTTATCGAACCGCGCGCAGTCGACACGTAGGAGTATTCGCGCGTGTATGCACGCACGCGCGAAGAATATTAACGCTCGTGATTACGCCAGGACACGACGGACTTTTAATGCTTATCCTCCTCTCGCCAGTGAAATGCGATTTGCGAAGGCTCTTTAATCAAGTGACTTTATTATATGTTTGTGTCACTATATTTACCTTCTCCTAGTTATTCACGCACGAAATGCTAATAGAATATTATTACTTAGGAATTTAATAACTATACTTGACGCATGCTAAATTATTTAATTATCTATCGCGATTGAAGTTATTTATTTGCTTTAAAAAAAAATAGAATACAGATTTTCTCCTTTTATTAATTACTTCTAATCCTATAAACAGTTAAGCGCCTATAATAACTATATCATTACGTTCACATCAATTAAAAGGAAATATTTTATCTTTTATCATATGTGTTTCTTATAAGCATTTTTAACTATAATAACAATAAGTATTTCATAATTCCTTTTAACAATTTTTATATAATTGGCACGTTTTGTTTTTCTTCGACGAGAGAGAGAGAGAGAGAGAGAGAGAGAAAGAGAGACTTGATGCGACAATATATTCTAACATAAATAGACATGCGATTTTTGTGATATTATCTTTCTCTCTCATTGCAATTTTATTATTATATATCAGTTATTATCCCGAGGAGATTAGATTTGAATTTCTAATGTCTGAAATAATTTCTGGTTTTATGACTCGAGATAGATAAAACCATAATCAACGTCGAAATCTATTTCGTTCGCTTTCTTGTCTTGAAGAAAGGCTGAAGCGAACGGACAAAAATGACTTGTCAAAAGATACTTTAGTCCTCCCTAAGAACTGGGTGATCGATCTAAAACAGCTAACAGGATCTACGGGTTCTGTTGACTTCTCGCAGGGACGTATCTGCGGTTTTCCGAACCTGTTTTCTTCTAGTTTGTGTTTCTTACCTTTCTTCTTCGTAGCGGCTCGCGTTAAAACCTTGTTTTCATTTGGCTTGTATTGGGGACGAGATAAAATCCGGTGGCGGATTAGCCCCGGTAATAGTAATACTAAACCAGTCAGGACTGACCTGATGTCATAATATTATGGTACGTGTTGATGTTAGTGGCGTCGTGTGACGCGAGAACTTCCCTTTCATCGGATGAACAATGTTAGTGTAGCTGGAAACCGACACGTGTGGTAGTGAAGTAACAATGTTAAATCGTCATAGACTTTCATTACCCGAGATAGAAAAAAAAAACTTTAAAGATAGAGATCGAAAGAAAATTATTTGTTCTACGAATAAAATATTTATTGTGTTAACAAGGAGACAATTAATTCAATGAGAAAAGCAGAAATTGATTATAATAGGCCCGAATGTAGAAGAGCGGAAGAAATGATGGCGCATGCGAATCTGCTGTCCCATTAATTTTCTGGGAGAGCGAGCACAGAACTTGCCGATAATGAGTTAACGTGGGATCGAGGATCTCGTTTATCTTCGTCTTTCGCTTCAAACTCTCTCGCGTGCATCCGCGATCGAACTTGATGAACGTTCTATGACTTATCTTTGTTCATCTGACCAAAGTCGATTGTAGAAGCAGAAATAGCCAGGAGAGGAAACAACGACGCTGAACTGAATGAGGGAAAGATACCGAGCAGTATATAGTAGACACCGCGACTACTTTGTCTGTCTATACGCGTTGAATCATCCGGTCGGTTTCCTTTCACGAGTCGATGGCAGCCGTTCCCGCATCAAGGCCTGTGGTCTCCTCCGAGCAAGCATAATGACTCAATCCACGATCCACCTTGCCCCCACCCTCATCGTGACTACGAGGATCTCTCTCTCTCTCTCTCTCTCTTTCTCTTCCCCAACTTCTCCTCCTGCCGTGCCACCCTATCTCTCTTTATCTTGTGAAGATTATACGTCCGTTCGTCTCTCGGTGAACCCGAAGACAAGAGATCTGTGGTTTTTCTCGTGACCGTCTGCTTTACACAGTTTCCTTCGCCGCTGTATTCTTTAAACTCCTTCCAACTACTCTTTATCTTTGTGTTCTTGTTCTTGTTCTTCTTCTTCTTCTTCTTCTTCCCCGTTTTCTTTGTGATCGACCCTCACGGAGTAGACTTTAGCGGCGTTAACTCATACGCTCGCGTGACGCTATGCTGTTTATAATGTTGGACGATCCCTCCTGTGATTATATCTCATGATCCTGAAGTCTGCTATGACGACGAGCT